GATGACCATCCTCTTCTAGCTTGAAAAGTTTCAGCAGAGAGATCTGCAGTCATTCTAATATTCTTCCTCTTGTAGGTTATGGTTTTCTTACTTCTGGCTGCTTTCAGAATTTTCTCCTTCATATTAACTTTAGTGAAGTTAATTATGATGTGTCTGGGGGTTGTCTTATTTGGGTTGAGCCGTGCTGGGGTTCTGAAACTGTCAGCTATCTGCATTTCAGAATCTGTTGGTATGTCTGGAATGTTCTCCTTTATAATCTCATGAAAAAGGGCCTCTGTGCTTTGTGAAGCAACTTCCTCACCTTCAGGAATTCCTATAAGGTGAATATTAGTTTTTTTTTTTTTAATTATCCCATAGCTCTCCGAGAGAATGATCTGTTTTTGCTCTCCATTTCTCTTCCTCTTTGAGTGTTTGGGAGCATACAAAAGCTTTTTCTTCAAGGTCAGAAATTTTTTCTTCTGTCTTCTCCATTCTGTTACTGAGGGATTCTACTGTATTTCTCATATCTTGGAGGGCTACAAATTCTTTTCTCAGTGTATCAGATCTTTGGTGATTTTGTCCTTGAATTCATTGAATTCTTGAGACAACTTTTGAATTATTCCTAAAATTTCTAATTTCAACTTTACTTCCATTCTCTTAATCTTATTTGCCATCCAAATTCTAAACTCTATTTCTGAGATCTCAGCCATTTGTTTATGAGGGGGATCTTCTGCTGTGTCTACCTTGTCGTTCCTTGGGGGAGTTGTTCTACTTTGATTATTCATGTTGCCAGAGTTTTTGCACTGATTCCACTCCATGATTATTTTTTCCTATTTGACTGGATGAACAGGTATTGTGAAATTGGACTGGGGACTCCTGGAATAGTGATTAACCAGCCCATTGCCCAAGAGCTGGGACTGGTGACTGTAGCTTTTCCCTTACAGCTTTCCAAAGGACCTGTGCAGTAATATAGCCTGAGACCCTGGGGACCTGCTTTGTGTGGCGGAGCTGGGTGGCTCTGTCTTGGGGCTGGTCTCTGTCCAATCCTAGTGAATCAGTAACTCTGGGTTGAAGTCTTAGCTGTGGAGAAATACAAGCAGCTAAGACACCCTGCCTCCCCATGGGCAACAACTGGAAAAGGAAAATCAAACCTTCCCACAAGAACACAACTGTGGTACCATCTTGGATGGTCCTCAGGTGATTGGCCCAGGTCAAGAGTTCCAAATCAGTTGTCCCATTTACCACCAAGTGTCAAGTGGGAGAGTTCAAAAGGTTTCCAGCAACTAGATAGCAGTGGTCTGCTGGCAGCTCAAGTGTGGCTCACTCTGGTGCTCCGTGAAGTCAGAAGGGCCTGCCTACCAAATGAGTTAGTCTGGGGAGGTTGATGTCTCCTTCCCCACTTGCACCTCTGTCACACTCAGCCACTGGTAACCCTGCAGGACTGTGACCCAGTTCCTTCCAGTGAGCAGATGTGCCAGGGGTTTGCACCTGCCTGAGTTACAGGGAGATCAATGTCTCCTCTGCTAGGCTACTGCACTCTGCCACCAGTCAGCAGGGGGAGCTAAAGCCTGACTACCTCAGGTGCTTAATGAAAGCTGGGGAGTGTCACTCAGTTCCCACCCCACCACAGATTCATGTTGCTGTCACTTATATTCTCGCAGAATTTGCATTTCTGTCCTGGCTATATTCCACTGTGGGCCAGGCACTATTTGAGTTCACAGAAACTGCGACTTAGCCCTGCCCTGTGCTGTTGCCACTGTGCCAGTTCTTGTGGAGCTGGAGTCTTTGTTTCCACTGTACTCTGTGTTGGGGTGGGCATGGTTAGAGCTCACAGAGGGCTCTCAGTTCCTGCCCCTCCCTGAGCTATTGCCTCTGCCACGTCTGTTTTTGTCCCAGCTAAGTTCCACTGGGGTCAGGTGCATCTTGGGCTCATAAAAGCAGCAATTCTGACTCAGCCCTGCCCTGGGAATATGCTGCCTCTGTATGGGCATATTCTAGTCTCTGTCCCCACTGTGCCTCGCCTGGGAAGGTACTGCCTCAGGCATAGCCTTTTGGGTCCTGTGTTTATGTGGCTGCCACTGGAGTAACGGCCCGGCTCCCTCTGGTTGGTAATTGAGATGGGAAGTGTTTCTCCAAAATATCACCAGGGGTGTGAGCCCTACTGTTCCCATTGCCACCACCACTGCCATTGCTGCACTGTGCTGCGAGGAGCCATTTGTCCCCTCCTGTATGGCTCCCTTGCACCACAGTCCCTGCTTTACACCCATGCTGCAGATTCAGCACAGACTTGTAACAGCCCACTTCTTGTCCATACCTCTTGAGAAAATGTGCAAGAGTCTGGACTCTGCAGGGGACAGGCTTTCAGGGTGGGAGTGGAGGGGAGTGCTGGGAGTTCAGAATTGTGGGTAGAGCTTATGTTCAGTTTTATGCCTGGCGGGAGAGTGCCCTGGCACACTATTGGGTCCTCTCTGGGGAAGGCAATCTGGTTTTTAGTGGCTCTCTCCCATGGAATAGAAAAAGAAGAGATCTGAACTGTGCTTGCTTGTTTGTAGAAAGTATACTGTGAGCTGTTCTCATGGGGGAGGGGACTCCTGTCTGCTTTATGATGGGTTTTGTGCCTATTGTTTGTTTCCTTGGGGTTGAAGCTCGCTTCAGCAGGGGTTATGTGCCCTCTTCGATCTTTCTTGGCTCAGCCCCAACTGGCTTACTTGATAAACTTCTGTCCTTTAACTGTCCTTCTGGATGGGAGCCTCTGTGGAAAGCTGGCTCAAGTTGGCCATCTTGCTTCCTCCCCAGTAGAATTTTTTTTAAATAAAATTTCTTACATATATTTTCAGGCAATATATATTGGATTTCTTAATAAACATTTACCAGAAAGTCTCATTATTATACTTGCTATTTCATTCATGTAATACTTGGTGTTTTATAAGGAAAATAAAACATGTGAGTATAAACACACCTGAATAACTTGCAGTGATATCCCCTTCTTATCCTCTGTTAGTCTATCCAAAGTTGGTCATTTGATCATTTTTTAAATTTCAGAATATTACTGGGGTATAAACGTTTGGTAATATGGATTGCTTTTGTGCATGTTGAGTCAAAGTTAAAAGTGTGCCTATCTAGATATTATGCATTGTACCCATTAGGTGTGAATTTACCCCTCCCCATGAAAAATTGGCTAGTAGTATCCTCCTTTTACAGAGCAAGAGAGTAAACAGTGTTTCCAGGGTCATATAGTTAATAAGTGGGAGAACTAAGGTATGGATTTGTTCTGTCTGATTCAGAGTCTACCTTGTATAATATATGCCATAGCACCTGAATTCTTTTTATCCTGGGCTATTAATTTAGTTAGAGAGTTCTACCATATGTGTCTTAACTGTTGATCCTAAGTGGCATCTCTTAACCATGTTGTGAGAAGGGGTGAGGATTTCTCTGTCTATTCTGAAATTCCTCAGCATTCCTCATGGAAATGGGCATAGGTGCTGGCTGCTTAGCTACCTTGGTCAAGTTTCTGGGACATTTTCACAGGAGCTTCCCTAATCCTGGACTGTGCAACCTGAGCCTTTTCCCATCCATTCCAAAGCCACAAAATGACCTTCCTCACAGCTGGGGTGGAAGGCCTGGCTCTTAGGTGGGGCTTAATTCTTTGCCAAGCTTGAGGAGACTATATGTACAATTCAGAAGCATATTATATTGGTCTTTAATTTATTGTTGTTCAGGCTTACAAGGAATGGAAGATCATTTCCTCATTTACACCTTCATCTGACTCCAGAGAGGAAAACCGGCCATTGGTTGAAGTGCCCCTGGAGAAGCTGAGCTCTTCTCAAAGTCGGTCTCTCATGGTGAATCCAGAAATGTACAAGGTGAGTTTATGCCATTTGTTAATATGCTTATTTGACATGGGACCAGTAAACAAGGCATGGAAGAGAAGAAGAGATGAAAAATAGAGCCTTTCTCTTGCCTGGTTTTCTTATATATCAACAACTAGAGTGGAGAATGGACAAGGGAGGGGTATGGATCCCAGCAGGGAGCTAGGCTTGATGGGTGGGTGCTGTCTGATAGTGGAATGTGGAAGTTTATTAGAAGTTATCTTCTAGGCTCAGCGCCTGTGGCTCAA